GCTGAACGCTTCGCACTCGCCACCGATGGTTTAGAACCCTCGGTTCCATCGTCATAATCATCGTAGTCGGGGTCGGCACCCGCGACGTCGTCCAGCTCGGCGGCGAGGTTCCTCGAAAGTGACTTCGTCGCCCCACTCAGGCCCGACGATAGCGTGGCCGTCTCCGGCGCCACTGCGCCTGGCTCTGGAGCCGGTGTCTTATCTTCGTAGCCGTCATAATTATCTTGGGCGTCCGGTCCATCGTCCACCTGGTAGAAGACAATGCGTCCTACAAATGTCCTAAACTGTCCTATTTGTCCTAAAATCGGACTGTAGATTACTTGCAGACAAACTGAAAAAGTGACAAGTTTAGGACGTTACGACAAGTTTTAGGACAATTCTGTCGAAATCTATATGGCCTAATAGGACACTCGACCGAGTACTATTAACGCGATATCTTCTAAAAGAATGTGTTTAGACCTGACACTGTACTACGATTTCGCATTATCTGGCACGCGTCGACTACAGTTTCTAGACGAAAGAAGCACAGCTGGCCGGAACAACCGGTTGCACCGGTGGTGCATGATGAGGGGCCGATTGGCGACCATGCTTGATGTCGTCCATCAGTCGAATGTAGCGCTCTGCCTCCTTCTTGGTTCCTTCAATAAAGGCAAGAAGGCTTGGATGCGTACCGAGCCGCGACGCAAAGTCACGATTGTACTTTTCCAATAGATTATTGGTATGGTTGATGATATCAAATTCGTACCGCACCATTTCCTGGACGTTCCACATCGTTGCGTCGTACCTCTCCATCCAAGTCTTCACAAAGTGCCTCCAGAAGTCGTTCTACTTGCCTTTGGCGCGAGACTCGTCGATCAAACTCCGCACATAGCGAATTCCCTCCATAATTCAAATTTAAAATTTGGTTAGCATCAAATATTGGACAAGACTAAACCATAAAATTAAAAACCCTCACCTTTTCCGGATTTCGTCCACAGGGATGAGAGTTAGTGTATCCAACTTGCCGGAGCTGAGCGCATGTTTTATTTGGTCCTCGGGAATGCGCAGATCCACCATTTTGCGACGGAGTGCCTGTTTCCAATGGAATAGGCACCCAACGAGATTGGCACGAGGAAATTGCTCCAGCACTGCATTAACCCTTTCGCGAACGGGTACTTTTGACTTGACTATATTATAGTATAGAAGGTCAAGTCATTAGGCCATCGAAGGGGGCACTTTGCCCCCTTTCATAAACTACGGTACTACAGCAAATCGTCTACAAATCCTTGTAGTTCAAGTAGAAAGGGCGAATCCGCCTCGTCCAACACACAAAAAATAATGGAAGGGGGCATTTTGCCCCCATTCGTGAGTGACACGAGTGATACTCAAGGATACGCCCTCCAAAGGGGGCAAAATGCCGTCATTGACCACGAAAGGGTTAATTAGAGCAACTTCAAAGTCACATGTGACATTTTGAGGCTCAAGCTGCCTGTTACTAAAGATGATGAGCTCATTTAGCACTCTCCAATAAGTCTCTTGTGACTTGTTCTGCACCAGAACGTAGCAGATCGGCAGGTAGAGGTCTACAGCCGGCTCATAGGCCATTACAATGAGGCACTGGCTGAACGGCTTTGACACCACCGAGAAGGTCCCGTCCATGAAAAGCGTAATCTTGGGGTAACGTAAAATTCGGCCTAGATCGGGGTGAGACAGACCGATCATTCGCAGCATTCCGGTGGTCGATGGTGTAGGGTGGGCCACACTGAACTGCAGAAAGGCTCTCGGATCCATGTCGCTAGCACAGCACACAGGTTCCGTGGCGATGGTCTCAAAGACGCCGCCGTCTGAGCAGTCTTGGTGTGTGCTTTACAATGCTGACGGCTGCAGAGCACGGGATAATTGTCAACGCTGTCTTGTCTCCGCCATAACGCTCTCTTAAACCGTCGTACAGCTCCTGCCAGATAACCGGGGGAGGCGTCACTCTGTCTAGAACACTGCAGCGTTGGAGCTGTAGCCGCAACTCCTGGCGCACGTCTGTAATCATCTCAGAGCGACGCACCTCGCAAGTTTGCATGCTCTTGTCGGTCACTATAGCCCCATCTCTCACAATTACTTTAGCTTTGCATCCTTGTCGAAATTTCTTACAACTGTAATAAATAGTGCTCGTTTCAGTACACGTGCGCTTCACACAGAACGAATACCCTCCGTGCTCCATAGTTTGAGTGAGATGATCGTCCTCGGCAGCTTGTTTTGGTTTGAATGGCTAAGGTGGGTTTCTAAAGTTTGATGTAGCGTACATATAATTACGCACAACAGGTATTGGACAGGTTTTAGGACGCAATACATTTCAGTCTGTACGACAGGATTAGATCATTTTTACGACAAAACTGCGAATTTATGAAAACAAAAATACTTTAGGACAAATAGGACAGTTTAGGATATTTGTAGGACGCATTATCCTGCACCGTCCACCTCGTCCTCAAAGCTCACCGAAAGCTCGGAGACAGCTGCAAGACGTGCAGCCGTCCCGTCCGAACTTGAACTCTCGTAGCGCGCTCCGCCGGACTTGGCAGGAGTAGCTCGTACCGCAGACGATGTTCCTTTCGCCATTTTTTTGTTTGCTTGTTCTTCTTGTTCTTCATCTCTTGGTTGCTCGTAAACTGGGAGGCCATGCAAACAGTTCACAAAAGTCACACTCTGTTCCCGGGTCGCGGCACCAGTTGTGGTGTTGTAATTTCCACGGCAACTCTAGCTACTAGTGTAGGTAGGATAAACCCACAACAATACGTCTACCAGAACGG